CTGACATATTTATGACACATATACACATTTTTATAACACCTATAAAAATGTATATATTCAAATGAACATAAAGTTAGACAAATGTTTTCAAAACAAATAGATAGTAACAAGTGCAAATTATTATTTACAGTTACACAGAAGTTATTGCTTTAACAGTCATTAAGTAGAGTCAGAGTCACTGGAGCTGCTTTGCCTTTTGTTTTTTTTAGGCTTCTCTGAATCAGGCTTCTTTGCAGGCTTCTTTGCAGGCTTCTTTGAAGTTTCATTTTCGTCACCAGTGAGTCTTTCAGTCTTATTTAAATAATTTGTGAGGCACTGTGAAGTGTAGTTCCTAATTGATGTGGAAATATTGCTAGTCGTGATATCTGCATTGGGAATACTCCCCCATCCCGGCATAGCCTTCAGGATTTCTACAACGTAAACAGAAACTATAAATATAAAGTCTCATTGTACAAAGATGGTGACAACATTAACGAACAGTGTATTAAACTTACTTTTCATAGCTTTCACTTCCTCATCAGTAATTTTGTAAACAGGCAGGGTTGCTGGGGCCCTGACAGCAAACCCTGACAGGAAGTGCTGATGTTGAGTCTTGGGGTAAAAGGCATCAATGACCCTAGCTACTCTTCTACCAAAGGTAGAGCCCCTTGCACAGTTGAACAGATCAGTTTTGGCAACAACTATTTTGTTGCCACAGTAAACCTGCAAGGAGAAAATTAAGCAATGGAACATACAAAACAAATAGAAATGTACTTTAAGTGAGACTTTCAAATAATACCTGTCCATCAGGAACCTCCATTTCAGAATAATCATCCTTCACTAAATACGTAACATCTTTAAGGAAACTGTCTTCAGCCATAGATGATTGGTCTACAAACATGAGTAAGAATAAAGTCACCAATAGTTTGCGTTCCTTACAAATATCACAGAACATTGGTTTAAATGTCCCTTATTGAGGTAACCAGATCAAACTATCCACTATCATACCTTTTAAGTTTTCCTGCAGAAGGGCTAAGACTTCTGTCTTTGATAAGCTATCCTTTGATTTCAGAGTTTTGTTTTCCTCAAGGGCTACTTTAAGTTCTTCATCCTTTTCTTTCAACATCAAGTCCTTAACCTTGCACTCAGGGCATGACTTCTGGAAAACATAAACATGACAATTAACAGCACAGTTATGAGACAAGAAATACTTGTGGCATTACAAAATAAAATATACCTCTTCTTTAGTGGCAACACTGTGATCTGTTAGTGACGAAAGGACATCTTTTGTAAATAGTTCATTGCCACCAGCAGAGTTGTCGCATTTGTCTGGTTTCTCCACATCCTAGAACAGATCGACGACGAAAACAAAGTGCAGAAATATGTCTGTGTTGACTGCCAAGGGTAAGTTAATCCTTAATGCGAATGGATAACGTACCTCATCCTCAGCATCAACATCTTTGTGGGGTTTGCTGTGTTTTTTATTCTTTTTCTTCTTCTTCCCAGTGGATTCCGGACTGGTGGACTTCCTCTTCTTATTCTTCTTCTTAACAGAAGACACCACCACTTCAACCAAGTCCTCATCATCCTTCACACTTTCACCAGGCATCACTTCGGGAAGTGTCTGTTTAAAAATAAATACAAAACATTTTTGCTTGCGGTTTCAAAATAATTACACACCAAATTTGCTTAAAAATCTCTAATAAGGAACAGAGATACTCACTCCAGCATTGTCCTGATCAGCATCACCTAAAGACATTTCTTCCTTAGCATCATCAGTTTCATCTCTTTCATCGCCATTATTTCGCATTACATCATTATTTCTAACGTCAGGGGTATCCTTTAGGACGTCACCCTTGGACACTGATTGAGACGTAACTTTCTTGATTTTAGGCTGTGAAAAATGTATGTATGTGTAATGTAAAGCAACCTTAATTATAACCAGAGCCGCAGAATCCATTACTCACAGCAGTAGCTTTCTTCGAAGCCAAACCTTCTTCAACAAATTCGAACAACTTGAGCGGCTCCTTGACTACACCCTCTGACCACCTTTTGGGAATTTGCAGCCTGCCATAGCCAAGGTCATCATAATTATCTAGAAAACACCAGAGACATAGTCATAAAAAAAGAAGTTAATACTAGCAAGAAAAATTCATCATGTGCGGGGAAATGGAAATAATAACAGTCCTAGCAATGCCAAAAGGGCCTTGCATGGATCCACAATAGACACATCACATCATAGTTTCCAAACTACAAAAACACCAAAAGAAGTTATGTGTGATGTGTCTTCTGTGGATCCACCTCTAGACAACCACAGTCCCATTTGACTGCTGGGTTTGATGGGTGGACCAAAAGAAGCCATTTCACTATAACCCTAACCAATAAGGCAATACTCACTAGCAAGTCTCACAACTTTAAGGTAGAACATATGTTCGCCCTTTATTGCTCCAAACTTCTGAGTTTTGTTGTCGTAGTCATCTAAGTGCTTCGGTTTGAATGGCCAATACCTGCGGCCTACGTCGTCCACAACGTATATAGAGTCGGATCTGTGACACTTCTCAATGTTTCTCCCACCGATAAATTTAACAGCAGCGAAGAATGAGGTTTCTTCAATTTCAGACATTTTCACTCAGCCGATCCGATTCCACGGGATATTGATCTAAACCTTCCAAGGTAGTCTCCTCACTCCAAGTGGGAAGACGGTTGAAAAGACTGCGACAAACGAGTCAGGCGGCAAGGTAGCCAACGCCCGCTTCCTACACTTACGCCATCAACAGGAATGCACAACCGGCACTTTCCAAAAAGTAAAACATTACTCAGAGAAAAAGAGACTTCATAAATTCCTTAAATCGCATTTTCTTGTCAGGTACGATAAGCAAAACCTCTACATTAACTGCAACCCAACTGTTTAGTAAATGACTACTCTCCATTCGGAGATAACATTAATTCTGTATGTTGGTACGCCTCGTTGATAACTAAGATATCTGTTTCCTTTTTACTGGGTCACAGAGCAACAAGTGGGCGATAGAAAAAGAAATAGCGAAATAACGAACACATTAATCTAAAAATCAAACACATTTTTTCATTACTGATTTATTTTAAAATACATTTGTTCGCACACATAGAGCGAACGTACCCGGGACATGCTTATGCGCAGTTATTTGCACTCCCGAATGGAGTGGCGATAATGTACGGCCGGACAGTAAATAAACAAACAAGTTCATGAAATACTTTAAAGTTTGAATCATGTGCTCGGCACCTCAAGATGGTTCTTACAAATTTTGTAGTCGCCAAACTAAGTGGCGAATAGTCCGGAATAAACTCGACAGCATCCTACAACATGCTGAAAATCGAAGTAGAGAACAACCATTTCAGGTACATAGAACAGGTGGGATAACCTATATACAAGCGGTCCATTAATATCTTTAAAGAATTTCCTCCCTGTTCACAGAGTCTTGCAGAAAATGACACTTTATCTGACACAGCAGACTTGGGAGTCAGTCAGGAGTCAGTCAGTGTTGAAGAAGACCATGCCACCAATCCTGAAAGAAGTTACGTTCAAAACCAAAAAAAGAGGAAAATTTCCTTCCTTTATGATTGCGATGCAATGTCAGAAAATGTATCACAGGTATTGAGTCTGTTACAGAC